AGTACACGCGTTCATGTGCCAACATTGACTTGCCCGCGTTCGCGGCGCGTGTCTTGGTTCCGAGCTGGGAAACGGGGAATAAACATACGTGTGCGTTCTACTTGGTACGCATCAACGCTGTGTCCACTTCTCGAAACGTTCGTTTTGTATAGGCTTTTACTCGCGTAAAAGGTCCTCGTTCTGAATTATCGAACGCTCGTTCGCGAACACGATATTATCTGTGGACGAGTCGCATACCCCTCCCGATCTGCGTTCTCGCGGTCGAGTAATTTTTATCGGAACGTACGCTGTCACGCTTCACCGTCTAATTGAAATTGTCGTTGGTTTTTTGTCGTTGTCTCAGGCCAGCGATAGGTCTCCGCGTACGTACGTACGAGCCGAGCGAAGACCGTGTCACCGTGTACCGGGCTTGCATGTGATGTGCAATAGAAAACATTTGGTCAATACACGCGATGACGCGCGCGGAGCGCATATACCCGCTGTATCGCATGACCCGCGCGATGCGTGTTCCGTCGATCGTGGGTCAAACACGTGATCGCACTCAGCGAACACCCGCTGTTCACGATCATCTATTTAACCCTTTCCTGTACAGGGTTAGTCGTTGTAAAGAGTCGTCGATTATGTCGCCGTAGTGCAACCACGAAAATACGCGCGCGCCTTCTTCGTCTTCGCACTCGTTCCTTGCTCGTCCAAGATCTCGGCTGCTCTCGCACTGCTGCTTTCCCCCGCGTCCGCCAAATTGAAAGCGACGATTAAATTATCCGACGATGACCGTCGTTACCGGAATATTGACACAGGTGTCACGTGTGACCATCTCACGTAGCTACTGTAATTGATTCGTGCTATGATCCACATACCTGTACATGGAACGTGAGGACTTACACGTGTCGCGTCATCGAAAAAAGGTTCGCCCGAGACGGTTCACAATAGACGGTTCACATTGACGATTTCGCGGCGGAAATTCTCGGACTGTTTTGGCCGTGAACCGCGTGATTTCATCGCGACAATGGTTACATTTCTACTAGATCGAAAGGGGTCCCGTCGGGGGCGAGTGTGTGCGCGCGCGATCATTAACATAAGCGTTATTTAACGACGCTTCATGAATCTTTACGATCGTTTCAATTTACAATTCCAACGGGGTGGCCCGTTCGGTACCATTTGGGACCGCAGTAAATACACACACACGTCGGAGACGATGCGAAAGAGTGCGACGAGTCCGACGCGATTTTCACCGGATAAATAAAAGACGAGGGTGGCGTCGACTCGGTTCGTCGTCGATCGTGTAACGTAAACGTTCACGAAAACGACGGATTTCGTATTTGACCCTTGGACACCGGCCTCCGCACGTCACTGCCCCCCCGAGCGACGGTTGAAATTGAACCGACGAACACCGAGGGTGCAAAATGTTCACTCCTCTCGAATCGATGCTAACGTCGTTACGCGAAACGTTATGTAAGATCTGTCTCGTCTGTGGAAAACAGCTCGACGAAATGCGCGTGTAGTGTTAGGCAGGTGTATTCGGAAGCCAATTAACCTACGTATCGGTTACCCCCTCCTGAGCGATTAGACACGGATCGATCGTATCGATTTCGGCGAATGTTTCAATTAGCATAACGACGACCGATGGCGATGTGACATTTGTACGTACACCGAACTCTTTGATTCAGGCCGTCGCTGTGACGCGAGATCGAATCGTAACGCGTCCGCGTCCACTTTACGCACAGTTTCAGGCCGAAACGTTTACCGAAACTCTGGCAAGTTCGACAAAGTTGAAAGTAGCCGAGGAATGAGAAAATTTTCTCTCAACGTCGTTTGATATTTCGCGACGACGAATGGTCCCCGTCGAGGATCGTCGCGTCGATTCTACCCCCCTCGTCGTTTACATCGGTTCGGAAGCGTTGTCTGGCGAACTCGATCGAGCGATCGATCATATCGGCTCCGAGGAAACGTTCCTCGCGTAACGTCGATGCTCACACTTTACTATTACGCGTCTTTCTGTCCGGGTCCCACCGCACAGAGCGCGAACGATAGGCATTCCGGACGTCGCCTGGACGCGAACGACGGATCGAGGAGAACTGACATACAGTATACGACGTTTAATGCGCCAGCTGATATTCGTCGCACCAAGTGACCGCGCGCGTGCATCTCGTGCGAGAGCGAGCCGAGCGACAAAAAGCGTGGTTGGCAAGAAAATCGGAAATTCCGAAGATGCGTCGCGCCAGCGTCGCGCCAGCGGCGGCGACGTCGGCGGGTAGGTAGCAATGACCTTGGACCGTGTATTGACTCGGATCTTCCATCCCTTTGTTCTCGTCCGAACGATTCGCCGCTTTCACCGGGAAACGGCGAATCCTTGGGATTCGCGGTGTCCGCGAGCTGCCTCCTGGTCGTCGTCACTATTGTTTCATGCGTCGAAGGACGTTCAGGAGGCCGTGCAACGTTTCTTCGTTCTCTGTTCGAACGCGCGAACAAACGCGCGAACAAACGCGACTAGCTTTTTCAGATATGATCTGCGTTCGTATTGATACGAATGGGAATGTGCGTTGCTATGACGAACGTAACGAGAGGAGGATACGAAGGAGCAGCAGCCGGCCTCTTCCACTGTTATGGTGTTCAGCGTGACTCGCGTATACCGGAAATAATGCAACGGGAAACGTGTCACGAACCGCGGATTCCGTGCGCCGTGCCGGAGAGCGAGCGCGAGGTACCGTTGTCGCGAGGCCGTGCGCGCTGCTACATTCATTGTTTCGATCGAGTCGAGCAAGACGAGAGGAAACGCTAGAAGAAACGAGAAGAAGTCGGATGCGACGCGTACGGGAGAGAGGGAGAGCGAGCGAGAAAAAGAATGAGTAGAAGATGGGAACGGGTCGAAGCCACGTCTATGTGTACATACGTATGTCTATCCACCGAAATCCAGACGAGAACGATGGTGACTGTAAGCCGAGACGTTTTTCCCGTCGATCGTAACGAGACCTTTTGTTTCTTCGCTCGCACACGCTCTGTCACGTGCGCGTTTCCCGATACCCCGCAATTACGACGCGTCCCCCATCCCCGATTCATATCGATGAACGGGACGGCGACACAAAATCAAATGATCAGTCTTGAATCAAATACGATTTTGCACCGATCGACAAACGTTAGCCTCTCGTTTTCTACGTTAGGTCTTTTGGGTCGACGCTCGTCGAAGGACGACGCAGAGACACATCCGAACTTTGTTCTCTTTGTACGGGATCGCGTTCTTCGTCTGACCATCGTCGTTAGCAAACATGTTCGAGTGCAGTGATCTTGCGAACAGGGTGCGAGACCGCAGGTGCAACGTATACGCTGCGTATATGCATATATCCCTAACCGCGTTCTTTAAACGCCGCACGATTTAATACGACGCACGATTCACCTTGTACGACCTCCGGGTAACGTTTCCAATTCTTTTTCAGTCGACGGCTGTGTAGTCCGACTGAAAAGTAACAAAGAAACCATTGTGTCTCCCTTCGTCGTGTCCGTTCGTCGTCCGCGGGCTCTGCGCGGTCACCCGACGGACACCGTTCGTGAGATACAAATTTTTTTACCTTGCCATCGTTTCGATCCAAGCATCAGGCACCTTTCGCAAATTATACCGAGTCGCGCGTCTCTGACGAGAATCCTGACCACCGGAACGGAGACGCGTAAGCATCTGTCGAGAAGAGATTCTGATCAGACGCGTACTTTTCTCAGTTTGAACACGCGCCAGCACGTGGCCGGTTGCTCGATACGGTCACTATTACATCGATGGTATTGCGCTTGAAAATCGTTGGTGCAGTTTCGTTGGTTTCTCGATCTGCATGCGAGCACACGCACGCAAGTTCGGCGCCGAGACGCGAAAGTGTTTCGTGAGTCGATCCTGTGAGAATCGTTTGAAATTCAACCGAGTATTTTCCTACGACGGACCAAGTTTCGGATTTACGCGTGATCGTCGATACGCGTTCGTCTGTTCCCTCTCTGCCGCGGCGAGACTACTCTTTCTTCGTCCTCTTGTTCGTCTTGTTTTCGCTCGTCTCCATTTATTCTAGGCCGTAGGTAGTAATCAATCCGCGGTACGCGGTGGTTTCAGGCAGAGCGCGCGCTGGTTATTTAACGAGTCGTTATAAATAACTGGCAACTGATAGTCGCGGCATAAATGCATATACACGATAGCGAGCAAATAACGCGCGGATCGCGCGCGTAGCGTCGATTCCGAAGAGGAGGCTCGATGGAGCCAATGTTTGTTTTATTTTTACTCCGAATACTCCTGCGCGTAATTCTGGTTCCTTTCCGCGCGTGACCACCGCTTTGTTCGTTTCACTGACTCGACCATCGTTCCATTCGAAAATTTTTCCGAGATTTTCACGCATGAATCGTGAGAGAGCGACGACCAAAGGGAGATTTCCGTCAGATTGTCTCATCGTATCTGGACGAAAGAATTCGCGGTATCGCGATCGTCAGGGTGTTAGTCAGAGATCACGCGACGGTCCCTGAACGCGCGAACCGAGTGTCGTCGTTGCAGGCGTTACGTTGCAGTGCGCAATTTCAAGTTGCACAACGCGTACACGGACAGAGGCTCGAGGCATGGTCGTTACCGTAATATGAAATCTGCGACGAGTAGACTTGTCGAGATTGCGTGAGACGCGAATAACAATGATCATTCGCAGGTGTCCCCGAACCGGCGCTGTCTGAACCAGCTCAACAGCTGATCGGAGTACGAAGCGGCGGTGAACGGGGCCACTATTGCACCACCACCCCGCGATCGGAAGAAATTCGTTCTGTTGATCGGTCGCTGGTCAACGGCCAGACGTTTCCACGAGCGGGAAAAGAAACCGAGAACGAAGAGAAAGAAGAGAAGACGTCTTAACACTTGACAACGGAAGGGAGGGCAACCAACGACGACGACGACGACGACGACGACGACGACGAGGACGACGACGAGGACGACGACGGCGACGACGACGACGACGACGACGACGACGACGACGACGACGACGACAACAACGACGACGACGACGACGACGACGACGACGACGACGACGAGGATATTAGCAAGGACGAGAACGAAGAGGAAGAAGACAAAGGCGAAGTTTTCTTTGCTTGCTTGGACACGCCATCATGGTCAAAACTTTTCAAGCATACCTGCCCTCGTGTCACCGCACTTACTCGTGCATTCACTGCCGTGCTCACCTCGCCAACCACGACGAACTCATCTCTAAGGTGAGCCGTGCTAGATCAGGTAATAACGGACAGACTCCTCTCGCATTCACTTCCGAGCCACGCACACAATGATGCACACTCGTTCGGTACTGTGCGTTTCTGCGCGAGTGTCGCGTATACTGTGTACAACGATGCCCTGTTCCGTCTGCCCTCGTCTAACTCTTGTCGTTCCACGATATCATCACCGTCCGAGGGCTAGTTTTGCGTTTCACGAGCGCTACTTTCTTTCGCTCTCGCTCGCTCCTTGCGATCCGATCGGAGAATCGAATTGTAAGAGACTGAGACGAATCGGTGACAACGACGAGGGCACGGTAAACGGGGACCGTTGTACCTGACGCACGCCCGATTCGTGTGCAGCGTCCTATAACGAGCTTTTTTCCTTCTGATTGCAGTCCTTCCAGGGCAGTCAAGGTCGTGCCTATCTCTTTAATTCCGTGTGAGTATGCTAACGCCTTCGGAGAGACGAATCGTCGTGGAAAGTAGGACGCGTTGTTTTACATGTGAAACTCCTCTTCACACATTTTAGCCGTTTCTCTCTTCGTATCTCGCTTCACTCTCTGTCTGTCTGTCTCTCTCTCTCTATCTCTATCTCTATCTCTATCTCTCGATGACCGATACACCCGAACGTATCGTATGTATATACGTGTGTTTACGTGAACGGTCGATGGTAAAGATCGGCCCGATCTTTGTTCTTTTCAGGGTGAACGTGGGCTGTGGTCCTGCAGAGGAGCGAGTTCTGTTAACCGGCCTTCATGCTGTCGCTGATATTTACTGTGAATGTTGCAAGACCACCCTCGGGTGGAAATACGTGAGTTTCGCGATTTTCCGCGAGCGTGCTGCCGGCTGGCCGCGTTCACGTGTTAATCTCGTTTCGAAAATGTTGCAGGAGCATGCGTTCGAGTCGAGTCAGAAGTATAAAGAGGGCAAGTTTATAATCGAGCTTGCTCACATGATCAAGGAGAATGGATGGGAATAGATCGAGCCGAGAGTAGAATCCGCAGCGCAAGACTCCGGGGATACTCCGATGAAAAAGAAGAGAAGAAGCTGTACACGGGCGCGCGCCCGCGTGCGCGCGAGGCCCATAAAGACTTTTCCTGATATAAGAAATAATGCCTACAATGTTGTTCTAATTGCAATGTGCGGCCCCCTCCCCTCTGTCAAACCACCAACGAAAGTCTGTGATTTCATTTGTGATTTATAATCTTAGTAACTTTTTATGTTTCGGACAATTCGACGTTGTTTTTCGTTCTTTCCGATCGATTCATCATGGAAGCGATGACACCGGCGATCCGCGACGTCGCGGATCAATAACATGTGCAAGTATTGTAAAGCGAGCGAGCGAGCGCGAGAGAGAGAGAGAGAGAGAGAGAATGGGTGAATGAGTGAAAAAGAGAATATTTTTCAACAAACGCGAGGAGAAAGAAATAAGAAAAATGTCGGGAAACGAGATGTTGAGAGAAACAAACGACGATAGGATATAAGGACTAAAAAAGGGGGGGCGAGAAAAGAAAAGGATAATGACGTTGGTAAGAAGCGATGGTGAACGTGATGACGAAGGTGCCATGGTGGAAATAAAAATGCAGAATCGTTCTGTTCGAACAGCGGGGTGCCCCCCTCTCCTAATTTTAATGAATTATCCTTCTGGACATGATTTCATTCGCGTGAATCTCGTCAAACGATAAATGTTAAAAATTAACGCGCGGGGCACCCCGGTTTAAAGATCGAGATTTTTCAATCCGTTATTGCACCGGAGCAGCGCAAGTGCCACAGACTTTGCTGGACTGACTGCCTGCCTGCCGCGTCTATCATTGGAATTTCACTGCCGATATTCCTAATTATTAATTAAGAAATCGCTGCGCCGCGTCGTAGGCGACGCAGCATAGTAGTTTCTAGTATAGCTTACGAGTATAGCATACTAAAGCCTATGTTACAATATTATAGGACCTCATGGAAATAGGAGATAAGAATTACTGTAAGAGTAACGAAGACGGGTGTGAAACGTGAAGATAGGTGTGTGTGTGCGTGTATGCGCGCGTGTGCGTGGGAGGGAGAGAGATGAGAAACGGGGTGAACGCGTTGCGTGTGCATGAAAGGAACGAGAGAGAAACGCGGTTTGATTAACTGTTGCGTGTATATGTTTGATTTTATGTTCACCATGCCTGCCAAACTGTCTGTTTATCTGCCAGTCGCCATTACTGTTAGTGGAGAAGAAAAGTATCGTATATTCTAACACGTTCACGTTCTCGTCGGCTCTGCGAGGCGTGGTATGACTAAATCTTTCTTTTGTTGTTGTTACGAAGAGAAATCATCGGGCTGCGCCTTCCTATACACGCACCACGAGACGATGTAATACGGAAGAAAGCAAAACGAAAAAATGAAACGGAACAAATTAATTGCTCATTACTTTTAATATCGATCTCATTTGTAAATAATAAATAGATTTCAGTGACATCGTGGATCACTATTTTTCACAGAGACCGGAGCTACGCGTCCGATCTCTCTCTCAAAATCGAAATCGAAATCGAAATCGTACGATTGATTTTCATTGGTAACGTTGAATGAAACGAATTTCATCACGGGATTTACGCTAAACGAATTCACGATTACGTAGCGGCATTCTAATAATAATAATAATAATATAACAATAATAATAACAATAATAATAATAATAATAATTGTTATTACGATGACGAAGTAACAGTTATTATTAATATTATTGTTGTTGTTTCGTTGTTCTTACTTATGGTAGGATTACGCATTTTGGGGACTGCTTGCGTAAATGAAACGATGTAAACTAATTTCTAGGCGGCTTTTCGTGTTACCTTCGTTCCCTCTCTTAAACTGTTCAGATCAAATTGGCGTTTACTTTATGTATCGACGTCGACGCATTTGTGATACGCTACGTTGAAATTTTGTTGAGAATCGAACGAGAATCAAAGAATGTTCGGTATTGTTTTGCGAGTACATTACGTTGGAACGAAGGTAGCAAATTGTGCAGGCGTGAGAAATGTTGAATTTTTTTATTCTTAACGAAAGATGTATCGAGTAAGAGTATAATTGTGACATAAATGTACAAAAAAAAAGGAAAAAAGAACATAACTGAAAATTACTGGTCGGTTTTTATTCAAGTAGATTTCTCGAAGAAGTGATACAGATCGAGTGAGCAATTAGAGACGATGAATCTGGCGGGGTGATCGTTCTAGGATAGGACGTTTTAAGAGGAACACGAATCACGTATTTGTTGTTTCATCAAACGCATATAAAAATACACACACATATATATACATATATATATATATATATATATATATATATATACATACGAAAGTGCAGTGTACTTGCGTGTATTTAAAGTGATTAACGTGATCGATCGATCGAATGAATGAATGTGCCGGCCTAATTCCTCGTGCTGTCATTCGAATAGTACTTTTTATATCACTATGCCGATGCCCCTTTTACCCGCACTCTCTTTTTCTGGAAATCTTTTTGA